CTTACACCTCCTCATCGAGGGAAAGTTGTAGCCAATTTGAGCTATACTTGAGCCGTTAGCTCCTATTAAAAAATCGTTTCGAATCAATTAAAATTATATTTTTTTATTGATTAAAATTCGATTCAACTTGATTAAAATTTTATTTGCATCAAAATTCAAGTCAATTAAAAGATATTTTTTATGTATCAAAAATCGGATCGATTAAAATTTAATACAAGTTGATTAAAATTTGATTTGAGCCTCAAATAGAATTTAATCGGCTCAAATTTTAATACGTTAAAAGAATATAATTTTTAATCCACTTTAATTTTAAATATATATAAAAAAATTAATTTCGAAACAATTTTTAATCGATTTCAATTTTAATGCGCACAAAAAATTTAAAATATAGAGGAAGTATCATTGAAGATGTCTCTCTAAAAAGGGCGTGGATGAAGTTTTTCCTAAAATATATCATGAACAATTTAGTGAAATTGCATTATAATTAACACATGTAATCTGACAGGGGTGTTATTGAAGATTCAAAAAATAAAGAGGGTGTTTTTAACAATATATAAACTAAAAGGGGTGTGGTGAAAATTTTCTTATAATTACAACGTATCTAGGTGACACCAAAAAAAAACTTTTTATAGCTCCTGCTACATCTGGAATTCGAAAACCCTTAACCCTTATTCCATTTTCTCTATTTCTGTTCTTTCTATCTTGTGTGTTGAACATGCATTGCAGTCTTGAAACCATGGAAGATGATCTTGATTTAGATCCTTGGAATTTATGTGCAGAAGTGGAAGCATTTTTCGAGATTTTAGAACTTCCAGACTCAAATAGAAGTAAAATTGGTGCAATGGCAGAGAAAATTGACAATATGTGGAATATTGTCCTCTCTTCTGTACGGTTTTTTGATCGATCAAAAAGAGTCGATCGCTTGATCAATGATTAAAAAAATTAAAAAGATCGTTTTGAAATAGGATTGAAGATTCAACAAACATTGGACGAAGTATATGATTCTTCGACGAACAAAGTTAGGAGGCTGATGAGATTGTGCTCAATTCACACGATGTAAAGATGATAAAGGCAGTAGGATTCATGTCACAATTTTTTGGCTACACAAGACCAATTACAATTTTAGGTTTTCCAGAAAATCAACGAGCAATCATGGCCACAGAAGCACTGTGGGTCAATCTTAAAAGCAAATTGTTGATGAAGTTTCTCCGGTTCAATTTGTAGATAGGCTAGCCATTCTGTGTCGATCTCCGCCTAGACAGACATATCCACCTCCTTCTGGATCATTACTTACGCCTCCTTCTGGAGGGAAACGTTCTAGTCAATTTGAGCTATACTTGAGCCGTTAGCCATATTAAAATCCTTTTCGAATCGATTTAAAATTTGTATTTTTTTTATTTATTAAATTTTGATTCAACTTGATTAAAAAAAAATTTTTGTATCAAAATTTAAGTCAATTAAAATTTATATTTTTTATATATCAAAAATTGAACTGATTAAAATTTAATACGAGTTGATTAAAATTTGATTTGAGCCTCAAATAGAATTTAATTGGCTCAAATTTTAATACGCAAAAAAATATAATTTTTAATTCACTTAAATTTTAATATATATATATATATATATATATATATATATATATATATATATAATTTGAATCAATTTTTAATTGATTTGAATTTAATGCGCACAAAATTTTAAAATCTAGAGGAAATATCATTGAAGATATGTTCATTTAGAAGGAGTATGGATTTTTTCCTAAAATATATCATGGGCAATTTAGTAAAATTAGATTCTAATTAACACCTTTAATCTAACAGACGTGTTATTGAAGATTCAAAAAATAGATAGGGTGTTTTTAACGATATAATAAAGAAAAAGGAGTGTGGCTGAAATTTCCTTATAATTTACAATGTATATAGGGGACTCCAAAAAACCTTTTTATAGCTCCCGCTACAACTAGAATTCGAAAACCCTTAACCCTTATTCCATTTTCTCTGTTTCTGTTCTTTCTATCTTGTGTCTTGAACTTGCATCGGAGTCTTGAAACCATGGAGGATGATCTTGATTTAGATCTTTGGAATTATGTGCAGAAGCGGGAGCATTTTTCGAGATTCTAGAACTTCTGGACTCAAATGACAGTAAAATTGGTGCAGTGGCAGAGAAAATTGACAATATACGGAATACTGCCCTCTCTTCTGTACGATTTTCTGTCGGTCAAAATATCGATCGCTGATCAAGATTACAAAATTGCAAAAATCATTATGAAACAGGATTGAAGATTCAACAAACGTTGGAAAAAGTATATGATTCTTCGACGAACAAGGTTAGGAGGCTGATGAGATTGGGCTCAATTCACTGTGATGTAAAGATGATAAAGGCAATAGGATTCATGTCTCAATTGTTTTGCTACACATGACCAATTACAATTTTTGGTTTTCCACAAAAACCAACGAGCGATCATGGCCGCAGAAGCACAGCGGCTCAACCTTTAAAAGCAAATTGTTGATGAAGTTCCTTCAGTTCAATTTGAAGATAAACTAGCCACTCCGCGTCAATCTCTACCTAGACACACACATCCACCTCCTTCTGGATCGCTACTTACACCCTCTTCCTAGATGGGAAGATTTTAGCCAATTTGAGCTATACTTGGGCTGTTAGCCCATATTAAAATTCGTTTCGAATCAATTAAAATTTATATATTTTTATTTATTATAATTCTATTCAACTTGATTAAATTTTATTTTTATGTATCAAAATTTAAGTCAATTAAAATTTATATTTTTTTATTTATCAAAAATCGGTCCGATTAAAACATAATACTAGTTGATTAAAATTTGTTTTAGCCTCAAATATAATTTAATCGGCTCAAATTTTAATACGTAAAAAAAATATAATTTTCAATCCTCTTAAATTTATATATATATATAATATATATATATATATATATATATATTAATTAATTTTGAATCAATTTTTAATCGATTTGAATTTAATGTGCAGCAAAATTTAAAATCTAGAAGAAGTATCATTAAATATATGTCTATCTAGACGGGTGTGGATGAAATTTTTTCTAAAATATATCATGAGCAATTTATTAAAATTGTAGAAAATAGATAGGGTGTTTTTAACGATATAATAAACTAATAGGGGTGTAGCTGAAATTTTCCTCATAATTTACAACGTATATAGGTGACACCAAAAAACCCTTTTATAGCTCCAGCTACAACTGGAATTCGAAAACCTGTAATCCTTATTCCATTTTTCTCTGTTTCTATTCTTTTTGTCTTGTGTCTTGAACTTGCATCACAGTCTTGAAACCCTGGAAGATGATCTTGATTTAAATATTGGAATTTATGTGCAGAAGCGGAAGCATTTTCAAGATATTAGAACTTCTAGACTCAAATGGAAGTAACATTGGTGCAGTGGCAAGGAAAATTGACATATACGAAATACTGCCCTCCCTTCTGTACGATTTTCTGGTCGGTCAAAAAGAGTCAATTGCTTGATCAAAGATTACAAAAATTACAAAGATCATTTTGAAACAGGATTGAAGATTCAACAAACGTTGGACGAAGTGTATGATTATTTGACGAACAAGGTTAAGAGGCTGATGAGATTACGCTCAATTCACTGTGATGTAAATATGATAAAGGCGAAGGATTCATGTCTCAATTGTTTGGCTACACAAGACCAATTAGATTTTAGGTGTTCTAGAAAATCAACGAGCGATCATGGCAGCATAAGCACAACGACTCAATCTTAAAAAGCAAATTGTTGATGAAGTTCCCCTGGTTCAATTTGTAGATAGACTAGTCATTCTACGTTGATCTCTACCTAGGCATACACACCACCTCCTTCTGGACCGCTACTTACACCTCCTTCTAGAGCGGAAGGTTCTAGCCAATTTGAATTATACTTGAGTCGTTGGGCCTTATAAAAATTCATTTCAAATCGATTAAAATTTATTTTTTTTAATTATTAAAATTCGATTCCACTTGATTAATTTTTTTTTTTATGTGTCAAAATTCAAGTCAATTAAAATTTATATTTTTTTATGTATCAAAAATCGGACCTATTAAAATTTAATACGAGTTGATTAAAATTTGATTTGAGCCTCAAATAGAATTTAATCGGCTCAAATTTTAATACGTAAAAAAAGTATAATTTTTAATCCACTTAAATTTTAATATATTTAAAAAAATTAATTTCGAATCAATTTTTAATCGATTTGAATTTTAATGCGCACAAAAAATTAAAATATAGAGAAAGTATCATTGAAGATATGTCTATCTAGAAGGGGTGTAGATGAAATTTTTACTAAAATATATCATAGGCAATTTAGTAAAATTGCATTCCTATTATCACATTAAATCTGACATGGGTGTTATTGAAGATTCAAAAAATAGAGAGAGTGCTTTTAACGATATAATAAACTAAATGGGGTGTAAATAAATTTTTCTTATAATTTACAACGTATACAATTGACACCAAAAAAACCCTATTATACCTCCCGCTACAACTGGAATTCGAAAATCCTTGACCCTCATTCCATTTTCTCTATTTCTGTTCTTTCTATCTTGTGTCTTGAACTTGCATCGCAGTCTTGAAACCTTGGAAGATAATCTTGATTTAGATCTTTGGAATTTATGTGCAGAAGCGGAAGCATTTTTCGAGATTCTAGAACTTTTGAACTCAATTGGAAGTAAAATTGGTGCAGTGGCAGAGAAAATTGATGATATGCGGAATATTGTTCTCTCTTCTGTACGATTTTCTGATCCGTCAAAAAGAGTCGATCGCTTGATCAAAGATTACAAAAATTACAAAGATCATTTTGAAACAGGATTGAAGATTCAACAAATATTGGATGAAGTATATGATTCATTGATGAACAGGGTTAAAAGGCTGATGAGATTGCGCTCAATTCACTACGATGTAAAGATGATAAAGGCGATAGGATTCTTTTCTCAATTGTTTGGTTACACATAACCAATTACAATTTTAGGTTTTTCAGAAAATCAACGAGCGATCATGGCCACAGAAGCACGGCTGCTCAATCTTAAACAGCAAATTGTTGATGAAGTTCCTCTGGTTCAATTTGTAGATAGACTAGCCATTCCGCGTCGATCTCTGCTTAGACATACACATCCACCTCCTTCTGGACCACTACTTACACCTCTTCCTAGAGGGGAACGTTCTAGCCAACTTGAGCTATACTTGAGCCGTTAGACCCTATTAAAATTTATTTCGAATTGATTAAAATTTATATTTTTTTATTTATTAAATTTTGATTCAACTTGATTAAAAAAAAATTTATGTATCAAAATTTAAGTCAATTAAAATTTATATTTTTTTCATGTATCAAAAATCGAACCAATTAAATTTAATATGAGTTGATTAAAATTTGATTTGAGCCTCAAATACAATTTAATAGGCTCAAATTTTAATACGTAAAAAAATATAATTTTTAATCCACTTAAATTTTAATATATATAAAAAACAATTAGTTTTGAATCAATTTTGAATCGATTAGAATTTTAATGCGCACAAAAATTTAAAATCTAGAGAAAGTATCATTGAAGATATGTCTATCTAGAAGAGGTGTGGAAGAAGTTTTTCCTAATATATATTATGGGCAATTTAGTAAAATTGTATTCTAATTAACACCTTTAATCTGACAGGCGTATTATTGAAGATTTAAAAAATAGATAAGGTGTTTTTAACGATTTAATAAACTAAAAGGAGTGTGGCAGAAATTTTCTTTATAATTTACAACGTATATAGTTGACACCAAAAAAACTCTTTTATAGCTCCCGCTACAACTAGAATTCGAAAACCCTTAACCTTTATTCCATTTTCTCTATTTCTGTTCTTTCTGCCTTGTGTCTTGAACTTGCATCGTAGTCTTGAAACCATGGAAGATGATCTTGATTTATATCTTTGGAATTTATGTGCAGAAGCGGAAGCATTTTTGAGATTCTAGAACTTTTGGACTCAAATGGAAGTAAAATTGGTGCAATGGCAGAGAAAATTAACGATATGCAGAATATTGTCCTCTCTTCTGTATGATTTTCTGATCGGTCAAAAAGAGTCGATCATTTGATCAAAGATTACAAAAATTACAAAGATCGTTTTGAAACAGGATTGAAGATTCAACAAACGTTAGACGAAGTTTATGATTCTTTGACGAACAAGGTTAGCAGACTGATGAGATTGCTCTCAATTCACTGTGATGTAAAGATGATAAAGGCAGTAGGATTCAAGTCTCAATTGTTTGGCTACATAGGACCAATTACAATTTTAGATTTTCCAGAAAATCAACAAGCGATCATGGTCGCAGAAGCACGACGACTTAATCTTAAAAAAAGCAAATTGTTGATGAAGTTCCTCCGGTTCAATTTGTAGATAGATTAGCCATTCTGTTTCGATCTCTGCCTAGACACACACATCCACCTTTTTCTGAACCGCTACTTACACCTCCTCGTCGAGGGGAAGGTTCTAGCCAATTTGAATTATACTTGAGTCGTTAGCCCCTATTAACATTCGTTTCAAATCGATTAAAATTTATATTTTTTTATTTATTAAAATTAAATTCAACTTGATTAAAATTTATTTTATGTATCAAAATTTAAGTCAATTAAAATTTAAATTTTTTTATGTATCAAAAATCAAACCAATTAAAATTTAATATGAGTTGATTAAAATTTGATTTGAGTCTCAAATAAAATTTAATCGGCTTAAATTTTAATACGTAAAAAAATATAATTTTTAATCCACTTAAATTTTAATATATATATATATATATATTCATTTCAAATCAATTTTTAATCAATTTGAATTTTAATGCGCATAAAAATTTAAAATTTATAGGAAATATCATTGAAGATATGTCTATCTAGAAGGGGTGTGGATGAAGTTTTACTAAAATATATCATGGACAATTTAGTAAAATTACATTCTAATTAACACCTTTAATCTAACAGGGGTGTTATTGAAGATTCAAAAAATAGATAGAGTGTTTTTAACGATATAATAAGCTTAAAGGGATGTGGCTGAAATTTTCCTTATAATTACAATGTATATAGGTGACACCAAAAAAACCATTTTATAGCTCCCACTACAACTGGAATTCGAAAACCCTTAAACCTTATTCCATTTTCTCTGTTGCTGTTCTTTTTGTCTTATGTCTTGAAACCATGGAAGATGATCTTGATTTAGATTTTTGGAATTTATGTGTAGAAGCGGGAGCATTTTTTGAGATTCTAGAACTTCTGGACTCAAATGGCAGTAAAGTTGGTGCAGTGGCAGAGAAAATTGACGATATATGGAATACTGCCCTTTCTTCTGTACGGTTTTCTGGTTGGTCAAAAACAGTCGATCGCTTGATCAAAGATTACAAAAATTGCAAAGATCATTATGAAACAGGATTGAAGATTCAACAAACGTTGGAAAAAGTATATGATTTTTCGACGAACAAAGTTAGGAGGCTGATAAGATTGTGCTCAATTCACTGCGATGTACAGATGATAAAGGAAGTAGGATTCATGTCTCAATTGTTTGGCTACACAGGACCAATTACAATTTTAGGTTTTCTAGAAAATCAACGAGCGATCATGGCCGCAGCAGCAGGGCGGCTCAATCTTAAAAAGCAAATTGTTGATGAAGTTCCTCCGGTTCAATTTGTAGATAGACTAGCCATTCCGCGTTGATCTCTGCCTAGACATACATATCCACCTCCTTCTGGACTGCTTCTTACACCTCCTCCTGGAGGGAAGGTTCTAGGCAATTTGAGCTATACTTGAGTCATTAGCCCTATTAAAATTCGTTTCGAATGGATTAAAATTTATATTTTTTTATTTATTAAAACTCGATTCAACTTGATTAAATTTTTTTTTATAATTCAAAATTTAAGTCAATTAAAATTTATATTTTTTTATGTATCAAAAATCGGACTGATTAAAATTTAATACGAGTTGATTAAAATTTGATTTGAGTCTCAAATAGAATTTAATCGACTCAAATTTTAATACATAAAAAAATATAATTTTTAATTCACTTAAATTTTAATATATATATATATATATATATATATATATATATATATATATATATATATATATATATATATATATATATATATATATATATATATATATATATATATATAATTTTGAATCAATTTTTAATTGATTTGAATTTTAATGCGCACAAAAATTTAAAATATAGAGGAAGTATCATTGAAAATATGTCTATCTAAAAAGAGTGTGGATGAAATTTTTCCTAAAATATGTCATGGAAAATTTAATAAAATTGTATTCTAATTAATACCTTTAATCTGACAGGGGTGTTATTGAAAATTCAGAAAATATATAAGGTGTTTTTAACGATATTAGAAACTAAAAGGAGTGTAGCTGAAATGTTTCTTATAATTTACAACGTATATAGGTGATTTTATAGCTCCTGCTACAACTGCAATTCGAAAACGCTTTATCCTTATTCCATTTTCTCTGTTTCTATTCTTTCTGTCTTGTGTCTTGAACTTGCATCGCATTCTTGAAACCATGGAAGATGATATTGATTTAGATCTTTGGAATTTATGTGCAGAAGCGGAAGCATTTTTCAAGATTCTAGAACTTCTGAACTCACATGGAAGTAAAATTGGTGCAGTGCCAGAGAAAATTGACGATATGCAGAATACTGTCCCCTCTTCTGTACGGTTTTCTGATCGGTCAAAAAGAGTTGATCGCTTGATCAAAGATTACAAAAATTAGAAAGATCATTTTGAAACAGGATTGAAGATTCAACAAACATTGGACGAAGTATATGATTCTTCGACGAACAAGGTTAGGAGGCTAATGAGATTGCGCTCAATTCACTGCAATGTAAAGATTATAAAGGCGGTAGGATTCATGTCTCAATTGTTTGGCTACACAAGACCAATTACAATTTTAGGTTTTTCAGAAAATCAACGAGCGATCATGGCCGAAGAAGCACGGCGGCTCAATCTTAAAGAACAAATTGTTGATGAAGTTCCTCCGGTTCAATTTGTAGATAGACTAGTCATTCTGCATCGATCTCCGCCTAGACACACATCCACCTCCTTCTGGACCACTACTTACACCTACTAGAGGGGAAGGTTCTAGCCAATTTGAGCTAAACTTGAGCCGTTAGCCCCTATTAAAATTCATTTTGAATCGATTAAAATTTATATTTTTTATTTATTAAAATTCGATTCAACTTGATTAAAAAAAATTTTATGTATCAAAATTTAAGTCAATTAAAATTTATATTTTTTTATGTATCAAAAATCGGACCGATAATACGTAAAAAACAAATAATTTTTAATCCACTTAAATTTTAATATACATATAAAAAATTAATTTCGAATCAATTTTTAATCGATTTGAATTTTAATGCGCACAAATATTTAAAATCTAGAGGAAGTAACATTGAAGATATGTCTATCTAGAAGGGGTGTGAATGAAGTTTTTCTTAAAATATATCATGGACAATTTAGTAAAATTACATTCTTATTAACACTTTTAATCTAACAGGGGTGTTATTGAAGATTCAGAAAATAGAGAGGGTGTTTTTAACGATATAATAAACTAAAAGAGGTGTGGCTAAAATTTTCTTTATAATTTACAACATATATAGGTGACACCAAAAAAACCCTTTTATAGCTCCCGCTACAATTGAAATTCGAAAACCCTTAATCCTTATTCCATTTTCTCAGTTTCTGTTCTTTCTGTCTTGTGTCTTGAACTTGCATTGGAGTCTTGAAACCATGGATGATGATCTTGATTTAGATCTTTGGAATTTATGTGTAGAAGCGAAAACATTTTTCGAGATTTTAGAACTTCTGGACTCAAATGGAAGTATAATTGGTGTAGTGGCAGAGAAAATTGATGATATACGGAATATTGTCCTCTCTTTTGTATGGTTTTCTGATCGCTCAAAAAGAGTCGATCTCTTGTTCAAAGATTACAAAAATTACAAAGATCATTTTGAAACAGGAGTGAAGATTCAACAAACGTTAGATGAAGTATATGATTCTTTGACGAACAAGGTTAGGAGCCTGATGAGATTGCACTCAATTCACTATGATGTAAAGATGATAAAGGCGGTAGGATTCATGTCTCAATTGTTTGGCTACACATGACCAATTACAATTTTAGATTTTTCAGAAAATCAACTAGCAATCGTGGCCACAGAAGCACAACGGCTCAATCTTAAAAAGCAAATTGTTGATAAAGTTCCTCCGGTTCAATTTGTAGATAGACTAGCCATTCCGAGTCAATCTCCGCCTAGACATACACATCCACTTCCTTCTGGACCGCTACTTACACCTCCTCCTAGAGGGGAAGTTTCTAGTATGGAGGATCCACTAAGATGCGAGAAGCTGGATTATTGGAGGCAACGCAAGTGGGATTAGAGGGCAGAGTTATTATTTAACTGGTCGGGGTTTAGCATGTGGTAGAATTGGTTGTCTGGTAATTCATTTTGTGCTTGTAAAAGTGTTGTGAGCATCATGGGTTAATGTACACTTTCAGAGTATCTACAATGCGAAAGTGTGGAAATTTGGAATTTGAGTCTTTGTTATACTAGTGGTAGTTGAACATAAAATGTAATGTTGGTGTGCATTTTCTCAACCATTACATTATTCTTGTTAATATGAAACTGTCTTCAGTTGTGATGAACCATCATAGTGACTTCTTGGGTCTCCTGTAATTGATAACTCGCTAAGTTGTTCATCATGTCGATCTGAAACCCCTTGCCTTCAGCTGCTGCTGCCCTCTGATTTGGCTTATAATTTTTTGTCAATTTTCCGTCCCTTTGGGTTTTCCCTGCCACTTGTATTTGCTATTTTTTTACGTTCTAGATTGTTAGGGGATGACGGCCACAATGGTGGGTTTGATGTTTGATGACCGGAAAAAGTTGTTCTTCTTCCCATCTGTTTCTCTTTTTATTCATTGGCTTTATGACTTTTATGTGCATAGATGAAGATGTCCTATTTTATTTTGGTCTTTTATGGATATTGAATGGAATTATTAGTGTTGATTACTGCCATGTTGTTTTCCTTTGTTGGCCTTAGATTAGGCTTGAACCTTGATTAATTAAAGAAACAAACAAGAGACAAAAAATGAACACATGGGAAGCTTTGGAACTAAAATTTTCATTCCATTATCTTCTAGAAAAGTCTCTTACAAGCTTTATATGGACACTTCATATATTCTAGAAAAGTCTCTCATACTTTATCTAGCCACACTTAAATATTGACACTCCATATATTCTAGATAAGAATCTTATAATTTTTATCTAGACATACCTAAATAATTCTAGAGTTTTCTATATTTGGGCCTAATTAAATACAACAAAACATGGCCCAAACACAGACTAACATTTTATAACCCAATTACAAACATAATATTTTTAGCCCAAATACAAAATAACACAACAAAGTATTAACTTTAACACACCCCCTTAAACTTGTCCTTCGGAAGTGCTTTGGTGAAGATGTCCGCCACTTGATCCTCCGTCTTGCAATACTTGAGTTGAAGTTCATCATCCTCCATGGCCTCCCGAATAAAGTGGTGCTTGATTGCAATGTGCTTGGTACGGCTATGGTAGACGGGATTCTTTGTCATTGCTATCGCGGACTTGTTATCACACAAAATTGGAGTATGCTCTCCTTGCTTCTCACCAATATCTTCCAAGATTCTCCTTAGCCATATTGCTTGTGATGTCGTCAATGATGCCGAAACATATTTGGCCTCGGTGGATGATTGTGCTACCGTTTGTTGCTTCTTAGAATTCCATGAAAAGACACCCAAGCCAAGAGAAAATGCATAACCGTAAGTGCTTTTCATATCATCCACACACCCAGCCCAATCACTATCGCAAAATCCAATCAATTTTGTATCCACATTTTTCTCAAATAAAATCCCATAATCAAGGGTACCTTTGATGTATCTTAAAACTTTTTTTGCCGGCCCCAAAATGAGTTTTGCTTGGCCTATGCATAAACCGAGATAATAAACTTGTAGCAAACATAATGTCCGCCCTTATAGTCGTCAAATATAACAAACTTCCAACCAAACTTCTATAAAAAGAAGCATCAACTACTTTACTTCCATCTACCTTTGTCAACTTTTCATTCACCACCAAAGGTGTAGCAACCGACTTGCAATTTACCATTTTAAACTTTTCAAGGAGAGTTTTTGAATACTTCATTTGAGAAATAAAAACACCATCTTCATTTTGAAAAACTTCAAATCCTAAGAAGTAATGCAACAAACCCAAATCACTCATCTCATATTTTTTCATCATGTCTCTTTTAAATTCTTCAAGCATTTTTTCTTCATTTCCGGTAAAAATAAGATCATCAACATAAAGAGAAACAATAAGAATACTGGTGTTACCTTATTTTTTGACGTACAAGGTTGGCCCGTTTTTGCTCCTTTGAAAGCTTTTATTGTTGAAGTAGGAATCGATCTCGCTATACCATACTCGTGGTGCTAGTTTCAACCTATATAATGTCTTCTTCAACTTGTAAATTTTATCTTCTTTTCCTTTGACAATAAAGCCTTGAGGTTGATCCACATACACCTCTTCCTCCAAGTCTCCATTTAAAAATGAGGTTTCATATCAAGTTGGTACAAGAACCATCCCTTTTGAGCCGCCAAAGCAATAAGTGCTCTAATTATGTCAAGTCGAGCCACCAATGCAAATGTTTCTTAATAATCAACACCCGGTTGTTGAGAATACCCCTTTGCAACAAGCATTGATTTGTTCTTTTGAATTGACCCATCCGGATTAAGTTTTGTTTTGTAAATCCACTTCACACCAATCACTTCTTTTTCTTCGAGTCTCTCCACCAACTCTCACTTCTTGTTCTTTTCAATTACCCAAATCTCCTCTTGCATTGTTTTTTTTTCAAACTTCTAGTTTAATTGCTTCTTCAAAGTTCTCCGGTTCAACCACACAAAGTTGCATCTTGTATACACATCACTAAGACTTCTCATTTTTCTTGGAGGTGAGCTTGGAGACGTAGAACTTGAGCTTGATGAAGTTGATTGTGGACTAGCAATCAGCGATATTTGATTTGGAACATCAAGGTCCTCACCATCACTTTCTTCACTCCTCTCCTCTTCATAAGTAGGAGAAAAATGATTTTGCACCTTTTTTTTTCCAATCCCAAGAGGTTTTTTTATCAAATATAACGTCTTTTGAAATGATCAACTTTTTTTTCTTCAAATTGTAGAGCCTATAGCCTTTTGATTGAGTGTTATAGCCCACAAAGATACATTTTTCACTAACTTCATCAAGTTTATGCCTCTTTTTTTTGGAAACGTGTGCATAACAAATAAACCCAAACACTTTTAAGTGATAAACTGAGGGCTTTCTTTTACTCCAAGCTTCAAATGGAGTTTTGTTTGAAAAGGTTTTTGGTGGACATCTATTCAAAAAGTAAATCACTATGTTAACAGTTTCGCCCCAAAAGGTTTTGAACAAACCCTTTTCATGAAGTATTGATTTAGACATTTTTTTAATTGTTCTATTTTTTCTCTTCGCGACTCCATTTTGTTGTGGAGTGTACCCAACGGACAATTGTCTTTTCATCCCAATATTTTCACAAAACTTCATAAATTCATTAAGTTATACTTACCACCTCTACCATAACACTTTCATAAGGTGACTATTTTGCCTTTCAACAAGACTTTGGAATTTTTGAAAAACATTAAATACATCCGATTTTTGTCTCATAAAGTAAATTCATGTCATTGTAGAAAAATTATCAATAAAAGTAATGAAATACTTGATACCTCCATGGTTGTTGTGTCTATAGGCCCACACACATCGGTATGAACAAGCTTCAATGGTGCTTCAGCCCTTCGTGCCTTGTCTTTTGAAAATGTCTCCTGGTGTTGTTTCCCAAGAGCACAACCTTCACAAACTTTTTTAACTTCTTGATTTATCGGCAACCCATGTACCAAGCCTTTTTATGGTAGATATTTCAAACTTACCAGATGAGAATGAAAATTATACCTATTAACAAGATAAACCGGAGATTAACAGAGTTTTTTTAAGCGGATACAAAAATGGAGTCTACATCTCTGCCTGGCTTCGGTCCACTGCCACAGAGATCGCAGTCATCGCTTCTCAGATTCACCGAAGATGACTCCCTCTGTTTTCGATTTACTATGCACGTGAGCCTGAGTGGATGTGTACATATATTTATGTATATGCGTGAGCTTTTGGCTCCTCAAAAGCCTTGGGTCAGTGTTTTAGGCGAAATAGGATGGCGATGAGAAGGCGGTGAGCAGTTTTTATGTATTTAATTCATTCCTAAGACAAAAATGTTTCCTTTTTTATTCAGGAAGTGGAGACCTAGAAGATATGCTCTCTTGATTACTACATCTTCTTCTCCATCTTACGGTATGCTCTCTTGATTTCCTGTTTTAATGTTTTTCTTCAAAGCTTGGATTTTGGAAGTTTAACACTGGCAAGCAATCCTGTCACTATGGCTTGTGAATTGTTCTATTTTGATGCTTATGCAGCTTTTATCTATAAGTTAAATTAACGATTGTATATTATCAGTAAGATGGAGAAGAAGGCGCCTATCACTTTTCCTTTTGCACAACATAAGGTAAATTTTGGTTTTGTTATTATTTTTCTGTGTCTTAGTTTTAGCACAAATGCTAATTGTTTGTTAAGGTTGTAATTCTCTGTTTTAATAATCAGTATCTTAAAAAGTGCAATCATGAGGAGGATAGGCTGAGTCGATTGCCTTGTGAAATTCTTGTGACTATCTTATCCCGGTTGGCAGTGAAAGAAGCTGCGAGAACTAGTGTCCTTTCACGCGGATGGGAAAATCTGTGGAAATATTCCACCGGCGTTTTCAATTTTGATGATGTGGAGGCAGTGCGTGGCTTGATAGACAGAAGTAAATGGCGCTTGAGGATGAAAGGACTACTTATATAAATTGGGTATATCAAGTCTTATATTCACATCGGGCTTGGACCCTAGATGGCCTTAGAGTTTCTTTTGATTTGGATGAAAGTTATGGACTTGTTCTGGATAAATGGATTAACTTCGCAATTATGAGGAGAGTTGCAATGCTTGAGTTGGACTTGTTAACATTCAATGGAATTGATCGGGCAATTAATAATTCCATTGATAGCTAAACTAATAATTACACCTTTCTGATGGTACACTTCTAGAAAGGAACAAGATCAATAACACGTGTCCTCGGCCCCGAGGAACTTGTCTTATCTCTAGCGAGGCCACGTGTCCTCGGTCTCATTATCCTTCTGCTCTTTAATTCCACCAAGGCATGTTCCACATGCTCGGAGGAGTACCCTGGGTCCCAAGGAATCATATATCCTCGATCGTGAGGGTCATGCTCTGATCTCGTCATAAGTCAATGGTTTCTGAAGAAGTTACCGACCGACAACTGAACAACCCATAGCAAGCTAGGAACTTTAATGGCACTCTATACATGTGGAGTCAGAATGACGGGGGGAATTTGACACTCAACCGTAAAGAATTAGACACGTGACATGATGTGCAAGGCCAGGGGTAGAAAGACAAGACTACCCCTGTTATTATGCAGCTAACAAAGACAAGTATTTAATAAAGTATCAGTTGATGAGACGTCTATCTTGACTTAATAAGTAGAGAAGTAAAAGCATTAAATACTCAAGGACTCACGTATTTAATGCCCCTACATTAGAGAAAGAGCATTAAGTGCTCGGCAGTCCAAGCAATCAATACTGGGACATTCTCCATCAAAATAAGGGGCACACTGCTCCATCTTTGAAGGCTATCAGTAACCTGGGTTGTTAGCAATGATGAGTCTTTGAAGGTATAAATAATCTTCAAAAATACCTTACAAGGGGACGAAAAATCATCTCTCAAGAACCTCAAACAATGTTTTCTTCTTCTCCTCTCTCAAACACCTGACTTGATCGTCAGAGGGGTTACGCCAGAAAACACTTTGGTTTCTAACTTGTTTTCTGTGTTTTAGGAATCCCCTGTGAGCCATCGGAATCAGTTCGACAGCACCAAGAACAATTCATCACCACTCATAGGCCCCCTTTGGCTCTCTCAACTCATTCCTGAGTGCCGAATCCACCATCCTGACGGGTTGGAGCTCACCATGGGAGAGATTTGTCCACATTTCAACCATTGTGCAAAAATCAGCACACACAGTTTCCATCACGACCTCTTTTCTCTCCCAGCTTTGCTTCACTAACGTCCCTCATTTTGAAATCGGTGAATGTAACTGAGGAAGTTCTTTCATACTTCCTGTGCAATTGTCCCTTGCTTGAAGACTTACGTGTGCGAGGCTCTGGCACTCTTGTTAATTTAAAAGTTGTTGGCCCTACCCTCAAGTTGAAGTACTTGGAGATTAATGAGTGTTACAAGTTAAAACATCTCGAGATTCAAACACCAAATATTGTGTCGTTTACCAACCATGGGCCAGAGATAAGTATGCCTTTCAAGAATGTTTCCCGTCTTTCTATGGTGTCTCTTGGGGAAGATTATTGTGGATTATTGCTTTTGGAATTATATCGGCTTTCATTGCATCACTCTCAGCTAGAGACGAATATTATGGACTTTGAATTTTGCCAGCTTTTGCTAGTTCTTTCTCGGCTAGAGACTCTTAGACTGTACCTTGAATATATTTTTTTTATACGCAAAGAGCTTCCAGGTTTGTTTCCTTTGTTCCTTCCTTTATGGTTAGTATTACGTTTATTTATTTACAAGGCTAACAGGGAGGTGCTATTGTGATTTCTTACTTTGTTGATGACAGTTCGAATTTCCATCTTGGAATTCTTCGACTGAGTAATCTCAAGCACTTGGAGATGAAGGTTATTCCACTTCCCGATGAAAACATCCTTTACCTCTCTTGTTTGTTAAAAGCGTCTCCTCACTTGCATAGATTTTCAATGCAGGTAACTATACTTCTTTTACAAAGCTTAAAACTTAGTTACCATCTGTTTAAGCAACTATTAGATCCTTTTGAATCTCTATCAAAATAGTAGTCTTTTTTGTGGGTCCTATGCATGCATTCTTGGTAGGACTTTCAAATGCTCTGTCATTGTTCAGGGCGTCGGTTCCCTACCTTAATTGTCGATTGAATCCCTGATGATTTCTGGGATTTCTATTAGTTATCACTCTTTAGTTTCTCGGCTTTCTTGCCAAAACTGAGAATGATATGAATTATGTTTTTCTGGTGGCAGATAATATTTACCTGGACTTCTGATATGAAGGTATGTTATGTCCTTATCAATGCCTTAAAGTTGTGGAATTTGTTGGGTTTGCTGGGCATCAAACTGATGGTGAGTTTGCCAGACACTTGCTTTGGAATGCTGTTTCACTTGAGAAGATGATTATTGATCCTCGTCCACGTTATCTGGGACGAGAATTTGAAACGGGAATTGAAGTGGCCAGAAAGCGTGCCAAGGAGCTGGAAACAGAATTGCCTCTGAAATTGTGATACATTAGGATTGAAACTATCAATACCTATGAACCATTGGACTATGACCTATCAATTTTTTTTCTGACGACGACATTACAATTTGTTACTTTTTTCCGAATAAAATGGTAAATTTCAACATGTTTTGTACAAGCATGAAATACCGAATTGGAAGCCAAAGAAATGACGCTTATATTGTCACACCATAAAATGGGTGGCAAGGGAAGAGCTATTTGTAAGTCATGAAATAGCATCCGGATCTAATACAGCTCAGCGGTAGTTAAGGACAATGCTCGATACTCGGCCTCCGAACTTGAATGAGAGACCACACTCTGTTTCTTTGTGTACCAAGAGATCATGCAGGAGCCAAAAAAGAAGCCATATCCAGAGGTAGAACGTCGATCGTCCAGATTGCCAGCCCAATCGAAGTCGCAAAATGCTTACAAATTGAGGTCACCTTTTGTAAACCAAAGACCACGGGTGATAGTACCCTTGAGATAGCGAAGGACTCGTTTGACAGCTGCCCAATGGTAGGTGGAGGGGCATGCATATGCAGGCAGAGCTAGTTCATCGAGTAAGAGAGATCAGGACGGGTAAGAGTACGATACTGGAGTGCTCCAACAATTTGGTGATATTCAATAATTTCGGCATCTACTAGCAAATCTTCATCAAATGAGGATATAACTTAGACACCGAAACACATGGTGAAGCAATGGGTTTTGCACCAACCATACTTAAGAGATCATTGATTTATTTAGATTGCTGTAAATGAATGCCATCAGAGGTACGATATGCCTGTATCCCAAGAAAATAATTGAGCGGGCCGAGATCCTTAAACCAAAAATCTTTTTGAAGACTATGAATAATAGAAGATATAACGGCGGAGTGAGTATTAGTAACTAGTATATCATCTAGATAGACCAAGAGAAAAATATGAACGTCAGATTGATGAAAACAAAATGATGAAGAGTCGGAAACAAAGCCCAATTTCAGTAGTGAATCTTGTAACCGAGTGAACCAAGCACGGGGTGCCTGTTTGAGGCCATAAAGAGCATTGTGCAAGCGACACACATGATCCGGAAATTAAGGATCCAAAAATCCCTTGTGCTGCTCCGTATTCACCTCTTCGGATAAGAAACCATTCAAGAAGGCATTTGAAACATCCAGTTGATGTATACCCCAATCAAATTGAACTGCTAAGGCCAATAAAACTCAAACGGTGGAGGGCTTAATAACTGAACTGAATGTTTCGGTGAAATCAATCCCACTACGTTCATCAAAATCTTTAGCAACTAGTAGGACTTTATACCGATCAATCGTTCCATCTTGCTTTTGCTTGAGGCGGTAGACCCACTTATTCCGGACAACATTATGAGTGGAAGGACGTGGACATAATGACCAAGTACCATTGGCAATTCAGTTAGACCACCAAACTCATCGCCCATGGTAGCCCGCCACTCGGGGGACAACAGGGGCAGTGGAAAAAAACGTGGGCTCCGGAGGTAAGGTAACAGTATGCAAGGCTTTGAGAGGATGGAAAGTTGAATAGTACATTTGATAATCTGGGAAGAGTTTGGGACGTGAGTTGCCGATTTGAAAGCGAGTAAGAACTCGTGAAACAGGAAGGGGTGTAGACGAGTGGGTGGAGGTGTGAGATGTATCAGTAATGGGAGGTTGAGGAGAGGGTGGGGTGGGCATGATGGTAGGAGATGGGAATGTAGGCAAAGGTGCCAGGCCGAAGAAACAGGAGAGGAAGGTGACTGCGTAGGGGGCAGTAAAGAGGGATGTGGTGAAGGTGAGGCAGCTGTGGAAGGTGAGGAGTGGGCAGGAATGGCCGCTGGGGAAGGGGCTGGAGGAGTGGGAAAATAATAGGAGAGACATTATCGCAAAGGGCAGTGGAATGGGATGTGCTCAGGGGTGAAGTTGAATTATTACCTTTACATGCTGGAAACAACTCCCCATCAAACATCATGTTTGTTTTTAGAAACAGTAATGTTATACTGACCAATTATTCTAGAAATAGTAGCGTGCATTATCATTCTAGAAATGTAGACTCAATTGGTAATAGGATCTAAACATCGGTACCCTTTATGAGAAGAATTATAGCCTTGAAAAATACATTACTTGCTACGAAAAGTAAGTTTAAGTTTTTGAGTCATATATAGGCGTAATAAAGGATAGCGCACACAACCAAATGTTTTTAAGAAAACATAATCAAGTCGTTTACCAAATAGTTTAAAAAAATGTGAGGAATTATTTAACACCGGTGATGGTAGCCGATTAATCAAAAAGGTGGCAGTTAAAAAAGCATCAACCCAATATTCCATAGGAAGACCGGATTGGGCAACAAGTGAGAGGCCTGTTTCCATTGCATGGCTGTTTTCGTTCTACTAGTCCATTTCGTTGTGATTTGTAAGGACAACTTAGGCTACTTTGAATACCACTGTTAAGAAAAAAAGATTAAAATGGCAATCAATGTACTAATCGCCGTTGTGCGATTGCTATTGTTTAATGAGAGTGGAGAATTGATCTTCAACCATAAGTTTGAATAGGACAAAGCAAGAATAAACATCAGCTTTTTATTTCAAAGGACATATTCAAGTGAACAAAGAAAAATCAACAATAAATAAAAAATATGATAAACAACCACCAATTAATGGAGTCGAATATGATCATACATCAGTGTGAATAAGTTCAAAAGGAAAACTAAATTCTCTCTATTGGACGTTAAAAATGGTTGTTGTTTACTTTTACATAATTGGCATGGCACACATACACCAAATTTATTTAAAGGACCAGTAACAGGAAGAGAAAAGTTCTTTAAGAACACGAGATACGACAAGAAATGATGGATGTCTTAATCTAGAATGCCAGATTGAAACAAGAGCCATAACACCTAGGAAAGCAGTAAAATTTTTTGGGTTTGACTGGAGTTGATTTCTGCAGGCGTATAGAATATAACCCACCTTCACTTAGTCCCGTGAGTAACATTCGGCCCGTCTACATGTCATGAACAAAATAGTGAGTTCCAGTAAGTACAAAAAAAAGTTTTTGTCGGTACAAAATTGATTAATAGATAAGAGATTGGAGAGGACTTGGGGACAAAGAGAAAAACATGAGACATATTTAACGAAGAAAGATGTTAAGATATAAGGACAGAACCTATAAAACCCAAAAAAATTAAAAATTAATTAATAGAGCAAAATGATAATTAGCCGTTAAGATACTGGTTAAAAATCTATCACGGCTAAGTCTACGATTGAATTTAATCGCGAAACTTGTAATATAATTTAAAGTAAATATTATAAAATTATATTAAATATCACATATTTCGGAGCGGGATTGGTTGAGATTAATATTAGGCCAATCAAAGGATGACACGTAACCCATTTTGGGCCAAGTATAAAAAAGAAAAGAAAAAAAGGAGACTTAGTTTCCAGCACACACCAAAAACATTCACTTGAGATAGAGAGAAAAAAAGAAAAAGTTATTTCTTGAATCTTCATTTGCGATCTAGCAAGATTCGACGGCAACTTGACTCGAATCAAGTATTAAAGTTATGCACAACGTCAAGGGTTACACGTGGATACCAACTGCGTTCAATTACGATATCTTTCGAAAATCAGATTTTTGACTCAAGATTAAATCAAGGCTTGAGAAATTAGATTTTGGGGTTTTCTTGAGAGTTCTACTACATGAATTCACACTACGAGAGGTAGGGTTTCCTCTATTTAGATGTAACCTCAACCTGAAATATAGTACATGAAATAGATAGGTTATGGGTGTGTGTATCACATGTTTAGCTCTTGATTAATATGGCTAGTGGGTTAAATGTAGGGTTTCTAATTAATCTTTCAATTTGCGAAACCCTATTATGATTAATTGAGTGTGTGTTAACATTAGTGGTTTAAAACATGTTAATTATAAATTAGCATAACTTTGATGTATAAATGGCATATCATGCTTAAATGATTTATTAGCTTGTGATATTACTATGAAATTGTAAGTATGTTAAATGATCATTTATCATATAATTAGTGTAGTGGAATTGTATTTATATTTATAGAATTAATAAACATGTTGTCATGTTTGAAGTAACAACCATGCTAGTTATGTAAATTGATGTGCCCTCTAGGTGCTTGCGTAAGTGCTTAAGTGAATACAAATATGTTAGTTGAGTTAATTATCTTATATAACTTGCTTGAGATGATTTTGAAAATATCATTATATTGCACTCATCATATAATTCACATTGTAAATAGTATCAAAGACAATTATACATTGCATTACATATGCACGAATTACTCTACATTGATAGGCATGACATAAGTGTGAGTATGTGTGCATGGGTTTGGGTCAATCAGCATTTAGTTGAGTAGATGAGTAGGCTTGGGAAAGTTGGACTTAGGTCCAGCTGAGTCCCACTAAATTTTGTATAAATAAATGTTTTGGGGTGTAACAAGAAAGGTTAAATTCTTATTTGAGTGCAAGACCCATAAACCTTTGAGTATGGACATTCCAATGATGTAACAGGCCCACAAAATTGTGTGACGAGGAGGATAGAGACACAAGTGAAATGTAGTGAAAATCTATCTAAGGTGTGATGTTCCTTTGATGAAATAACATAAATTATCGTCCCACAAAGACACGAAAAATAAATTAATTAATCATTGAGTATAAATAGCACCAATGGCAAAGACTTGGAATGTCTAAATACATACGCATGACATTATACGTGTTGTGAGAACCGAGATGGAACTTGGTGTTAGTATTGCAACTGTTTCCCTGAAGGCACTCTTACGAGTCTTGTATTTATTGGTTTTTATCTGTTAGGAAAGAATATAATTGATAATCCTTGTATTTGTATTAGATTGACATAATAAGGATAATTTAGTACTTATATTAAATTTTCTATATTTTTTTAACAAATTTTTCATTCTAACCAAACGCATACAAGAAAACGGAGCTTAAGGAAAAAAAAAACTTGAAGGTTCAATCAGAGAGTTTTTGGATCAAAATCATCTTCGACAACAATGTATTGGTGCCTGAAAATTCAAATCTTCTAACTAGTATCACAAATGCAGAAAGGTTTGACTGTAAGATGTGAACAACACATTGTAACTGGAGAAGAAGAGAGGGAGCATATCTTTTTGTTTTTCACCAAGTGGTGAAGAGAGAGAGAGAGAGAGAGAGAATTGTGTGGCTGATTTTTTTGGTGAATAGAGGAGTACTTGATAGAACTCCTAAACCTCATATCTCATTTGGAAGCTTACCTATTGGAGGAAGATCTCTTTTGGTACAAGACCAACGCCAAATCAGCATGCTGACGAGAAGGAATTAGGAAATTTCCTTAATTCTTTTTAATTCCTCTTAATTATCTTAAATGTAATCAACATGCATTTTTCTTAGAAAAATGCTATTTCAATCTAAAAAACTAACCTAATAATGTAACTTCAATAGAATTATTGAATAGATACAAAATTTCAAAATTTAATAAAATCCACAATCAATTCAAAAATCATAATAAATTAAATCAACAAATTATATCCCAATAACATTGCTCTTTTTTTAATCTTCTCAAAATACATCCCCTAACTAGGTGTTATTCTTTTTTATCTAATTAATAAATCTCCTCCATATCATCGAGGTTATTTTTTAAAAAAAAAAGCAATTGCAATAAATTAGAATCCAATTATTTGAACTCTTTTGGGATCAAAAACCCTAATCCAATTCTTAACTTGGAATAGCAGGGGATGAGCAAACAAATTTCTGTTGCAAATGCTTTCTTATGCAGATCATCAAATGATAGTTGCTATGGCTCAAAAATACTGGCAGACGAACAACTGTCTTTTTTCACCATTGTTTCCTCATCAGGAGAGCTTACAGCATTTTGAGAACTCTTATACCTGGAAAACAAGTAAAGAACGGACACATTCCTGCTCCATTGCTCTTTCGAGGTTCCCATGGATGGAATATCACTAGAACCCTCTAAAGAATGAGTCGAACAATCAGCATTTATCATCACTGCCTCGTCATCTTGTGTAATCCTTGTCAAGGTAAAACTTTCAGTTGTCTTCGCACAGTCTTCAGGAATTAAGCTTAGATCACGACGAGAACCTTGACTAAGCTTCTTTAGTGTGGCCTCTACATCAAGGAAAGTACATTAACAGAAACACCCCAAATCTCTATTTACTGTCATACACATTGCATAGAATCATTTTCCTATCAGGGAGCATTATGTTTACATTCTTTGTAACATTTTTTTTAATGAGATTGTAAACTTCACTGCCTCAAAAATTGTGGTAGTCGTCATGATTGACAATAAAAATTTACTACTATACAAAAATCAGCAGTTACACCCATAACAAAAAGTAGAAAGGATATTCCATTACAATCCAAAGATGCACAAGAAGTTTTCTTTCACTAAAAGCAAATTTTAAAATAAATCAATGAGCCAGGACACTTATTCAAATTTATATTTTCTATAATGGATTGCCAACAAGGAAAACTTCAAGGAAAAAAGAACAAACCTTTCCTATTAACTCTGCATACATTTTATCCGTTCATTGGCAGCAAATGATTCATTACAGTTCCCGTTGACAGAATTTTTCGGGCATTCTTTTTCTCAAAGATTTCTTCATAGATTAATATTGGAATTATGTGGTGGAGCATTTTCTAAGGAAAGTGCAATGTCATCTACAACCACTTTCATGAAGTCACCACCTTGGGAATCCATCATATTTTCTCTAGAGAGCTAGTAGTTCACAAACCATAATAAGAAGCAACTTACCAAAATATGATTTGCTCGGGATGAATCCGACTGGATCACAGTACCAAAATCTTATGACCGTATAGACATTCGTGAGTAATTATGTGTGTGCAAGGTATCTATCACATCATCTACTTTGTTCCCTAATCAAAACAAAATTGAGACAGCAAAAACAAAATAAGCTTAATAAAATTGTCTACAAGATAATGCCATTGTGTTCATTGAAAAACATTTCGAGTATGGCAACTCAAGTTATGCTTTGTTAGATATATATGGCTCACACATAGACAACCAATTCCGTGTTATTCCTCTCTTCAATACAGCTTGTGTCACAAAGAAAGAAAGAACTATGGTGGTTTCTGTTGGAGTATAGATAGTCTAGGTTTATTAGGATTTCTTTTCCCTTTTTTACCCTTATTATGATTTTTATATTTTGCCTAAACTACAAGGATGTTTAAGTCACTCTGTATTATTTTTGGATATATATACGGGATTCTACTCTTAATTTGAGTATCCCTTTTCATTCACAACTATCTCAAGTTGGTATCAGAGCCACCAACCCTAACCCTAACCTCAAACGTCGCAACCAGCGAAAGACACTGCCACCACTGCACCGCTACCTACCATTGCAATCTTACCCAGCAACTCCATTAAACCTCAATCACCGTCAGAAGCACAACCAGCCTACACCTAAATCATCATCCTGCAACTCCTCCAGCGACAAACCAGAACCCAGACCAGCATCAATCCAGCCAGCGACAGCAAGCTCACAACAATTCTGCCAACATCCACACCTGCGAAACCAGCAACCACACTTGTGAAACCGACGACAACAAATACCCAGCTAAACATAACAATCCCACCGACATAACAAAAATACCCAGTAGCGAAACACCCAATCCCAAACCACCGACATAACAAATACCCAGCTAGACCAGCCCAGTAGCAAAACACCAAACTTTATCCGGCCCAACTTTACTCAGCCCATCCACCGACAGTCAAACTAGCAGCCAAACCCCACCGATTGCCCATTTTTTCAGCCCAGTCCATCAAACCAGCTCCACTGTGTCAAAGACATACCATACCCAGCGACCCACAAAACCCCCACTGCCCAAACCCAGATCAGCCTATTACCTATCGCACACTTTGTCATAGCTTTGTATTTTTGCCTTCAATTTTCACTCTGTCGTAGTGCCGCAGCATCGGACCTTTTAAGTGGGGATGAATCTTCTTCTCCATTGATCTGCTCTTGATGCAGTAGATTACTTATTTATATATTTTGGATTTCTGGGCACCGTGACTTGATTATTTGGGAGTTTTTTGGACCTTCCCTATTTGTCACTACTGTTCGACTGAAGGTATATTGTTCTCCCTTATTTTATTCCTCTATTTATCTTAGAGTTATTTTTCTGTCACGGGTGCCCTAGTATTATTGTTGATATGGCTACTACTGAGGGACTTGAGAACCCTACTGTTGACACCTCTACCGTTGAGACATCTATGGATACTTCCACTTTTATGTTTGACCAGTATACAGTACCTACTAGCACAGTTGCATTACCAGCATTACCGGGCATGATCTCTCAAAAAGTTACGGCACAATTGTTGAATGGTCGTAACTTCGCTGAGTGGTCACGCTCATTCCAGCTTTTCTTAGGCCGTGTAAGGAAGCTTGGTTGACTGACGGGATCTCACCCAAAGCCAGCTGATGCCGACCCTGGATATTCTGCATGGTTCTCTGAAAACTGTGTCATTCTTGGATGGTTATTTGGCTCAATGGAGCCCTCTGTTTGCAGGATCCACCAGTTTCATAGCTTTGTTCCGAAGCTATGGAGCGCATTATCAGAGATGTATTCTCAGTCAGGACGGGGAGTTCGTGTTTATGAGCTTTCTCAGGAGCTCTCATATGCTCGGCAGGGAGATATGACCGTTCAGGATTATTATGGCTATTTGACCCAGCGCTGGCTTGAGTATGAGTCTCTACGTCCTCTTGCTGCTATTCCGAAGATAGAGCCCGAGGGAGCAAAATTCTTGCATACTCGAGAGCAGGAGGATAGGATTCACAAGTTCCTTATGGGGCTTCGTGATGAGTTTGAGGGACCTCGTTCTCAGATCTTGTCGATGTTGACACTTCCTTCTCTTTATGAGGTGTATGGGATGATTGAGCAGCATGAGCGTCGAGTCCGTATTGCATCACTTCCAGTTGCAGCTTTGCCTCCTTCGATTGACCAGATGGCCCTTGCAGCTGCTGTAGGGTCCCGTTCAGGATCCTTAGTCAGGGATAGGCAACGCTCAGACCAGCGCCGTCAGGGCGCCCCAGATCAGCACAGACGGGGGGATTCCCGTCAATGTGATTATTGTGGCCGACCAGGACATCTCAGGGCTACTTGCTGGAAGCTCCATCCAGAGCTTAAGCAACCTTCTCGCAGCCGTACTGTTGTTATTGCTGAGGTACCACCGCCCACTACCGCCACTCCTACTACTGCTCCTCCGTGGCAAAGTGATATGGATTCTATCACTTCCCGATTAGATATACTTATGTCTGCTCTGACTTCTCAGAGTCTGACTACTGCTGCTGTCACCACTACAGGTATATCTCGTGCCTTTCACGCTTGTGCCAGTTCATCTCCCCTTTGGATGTTGGACTCGGGTGCGAATGGTCACATGACAGGTGAGGCCCATCACTTCACCACTTTTGACGAGCCATTACATACACAGGTTCAGTTAGCAGATGGAACACATGCCCCTATTGTTAGTAGGGGTACAGTCCGTCTCCCAGATGGCCTTACATTACATTCGATTTTTCATGCGCCAAAGTTGGCCATGAATCTATTATCTGTACATCAGTTAGCCAGAGATTTTCACTGTGCGGTTGTATTCTTATCTGATTCGTGTTATTTGCAGGACCTGAGTACCAGGAGGATTATTATCAAGGGACATGAGAAAGATGGACTGTATTATCTTGGCAATCCATCTCCAGTTTCACCAATTCCTTCACCTGCACCTGCTTTGTCTTTTTCTGTTCCTAGCTTGCATGCTAGTATTTTACCTAGTAGTTGTCGTTATGATTTTTCGTCACAAACTGTTCAATTGTGGCATGACCGTTTTGGACATACAAATTTTAAATATTTATGTATGTTGTTTCCTGCTTTGAGTAATGCTTGTGTTGGTGGTAAACTTGATTGCGTTATCTGTTCCCTATCAAAACATGTTAGGGCCAATTATATTCCTCGCATGCACCAGTCACCCAAGCCATTTGACCTAATACACTCTGATATTTGGGGACCCTCTCCCGTTACTGCTCTGTCAGGTGCCAGATATTATGTGACATTTATAGATGATCATACCCGTTGTACTTGGGTCTACCTTTTGCATAGGAAGTCTGATGTGCTCCCTATAATCACTCAGTTTTTACAGATGATTAAGACACAATTCGATGTCATTGTTCGTGCTCTTCGTTCGGATAATGCCAAAGAATATGTGTCTGATGCTTTAGTGTCTCACCTTTCTTCTCAGGGTATCCTTCAGCAACTCACTTGTCCATATACTCCTGAGCAAAATGGTGTTGCTGAGAGAAAAAATAGGAGTTTGATAGGGATGGTACGTTGTCTGCTTAGAGGCATGAGGGTACCAAAATCTTATTGGCATTTTGCTGTTTTGACTTCTACCTTTCTGTGCAATCGTACGCCGAGTCGTGTTCTTCAGCATAAGGCTCCCTTACAGGTCTTATTTCCTGAGCGGACACTTTTTTCGGTCCCCCCTCGTGTTTTTGGATGCACATGTTTTGTTCAGGATCGGTCTCCTACTCGTCATAAACTTGATGATAAAGCGATTCGTTGTATCTTTGTGGGCTATTGTCATCAATCTAAGGGGTATCGATGTTATGATCCTATTAGGCGTCGTATGTATCACAGTCTAGATGTTACCTTTCTTGAGCATATTCCTTATTTTTCTTTCAGTCCTTTGTCTGCCCCTCCAGTTGATGATACTTCCTTTGATTTTCCATTACCACAAGAGTCAGAGTCATTGATCACTATCCCTACAGGGTCATCCGTTTTTCCTCCAAAGGAGTCACTCATCCCTGTCAGTACAGAGTTACCAGTCTCTCTTCCTTTGCAGGTGTATGCTCGTTGTCCTCGCTCTCATCACCCTGCTGATATCCCCTCTACCTCAGGCGATGCAGGTAATACTTCTCAGTTTGTTGAGCATATTGATGCACCTGTTGTTAGTACTGATGAGATTACAGGTGCTGAGCCAGTTACTTTACCTGATAAGATATTATCAGTAGAGGATGGTGATTTAGGGCGTCGTTATCCAAGGCGTGATCGCCGTCCAGTTGATCGATATGGTTGGACCGCAAAGATTTTATATCCGATCTCTGCTTATGTTTCTTATGGTAATCTGTCTCCCACATTTCGAGCTTATACTATGGCCTTATCAGATACGCTGGTTCCTCGCTCTATTTCGGAAGCTATGCGGGAGCCCCAGTGGGTTCTTGCCATGCAGACAGAGATGGACGCTCTTCAGCGTAATCATACATGGGATCTTGTCTCCTTACCTTCAAGGGTGAAGCCTGTTGGCTGTCGCTGGGTTTACACCCTGAAGTTTCTTGCGGATGGTACTATTGATCGTTACAAGGCTAGATTTGTGGCGAAGGGCTTTACTCAGGTACCAGGTCGTGATTTTGGTGCTACATTTGCCCCCGTGGCAAAATTGACTACTGTTCGGTTAATTATTTCTCTGGCTGCGGAGTACTCTTGGCCTCTTCATCAATTAGATGTGAAGAATGTGTTTCTTCACGGTGATCTGGACGAGATTATTTATATGGATGCACCACCGGGCTTTCGTGGTGATGGGGAGTATGCTGGAAAGGTATGTCGACTGCGTAAGTCTCTTTATGGACTGAAACAGTCACCACGAGCCTGGTTCTCTCGCTTCAGTGATGTAGTCATACGATTGGGGTTCACCAGGTGTCATTCTGATCATACCTGCTTTATTCGACGGAATACTTCTGGACAGTGTGTCATCCTTCTGGTATATGTTGATGATATTATTATTACTGGTGATGATGTTTCTGGGACTGCGCAGGTCAAGATAGACCTTGGGAAGGCCTTCGATGTGAAGGATCTTGGATTTCTGCAATACTTTCTTGGGATTGAGGTTGCCCGTAGAAGCAGAGGTATTGTTCTTTCTCAGAGAAAGTATGTTTTGGATCTTCTTTCAGACACTGGGATGTTGGGGTGCAAACCGGCATTATCACCTATGATTCCAAACCTGAAGCTTACTGCTGAAGGTGAGGAGTTGAAAGATCCGACAGTTTATCAAAGATTGGTAGGTAAACTTATCTACTTAGCCAATACTAGGCCGGAGATTTCATTCGCAGTCAGCCAAGTTAGTCAGTTCATGCATAGGCCATGTCAGCCTCATCTTGATGTAGTTTATCATATTCTTCGGTACCTCAAGTCTTGTCCTGGACTTGGGTTATTTTATGCATCAGGATCTCAGACCGGTTCTCTAGCCTGTTATTCAGATTCAGATTATGGGGGAGCATGTGATGGTCGATCTACTACGGGTTTCTGTGCTTTTCGAATGACTCATCTTATCTCTTGGAAGAGCAAGAAGCAGGCAGTTGTCTCCCGCTCGTCCGCAGAGGCAGAGTATCGGGCATTGGCACTTGGCACATGTGAGATTATCTGGCTACGATCGATTCTTGACGAGTTGGGTTTTTCAGTGACCTCTCCATCCACATTATATTGTGATAATCAATCTGCTATTCAGCTCGCTTCTGACTCTGTACTACATGAGAGAACGAAGCATGTAGAGATCGATGTTCACTTTCTTTGGGAGAAGGTCAGCAGTGGTCTTGTTACTCCATCGTTTGTGGGGACCAGTGATCAAGTTGCGGATGTTTTTACCAAACCAGTCACTCTGTCTATTCTTCGGGACTCCGTTGTCAAGCTTGGCTTAGTTGACATTTTTGCGCCTAGCTTGAGGGGGAGTGTTGGAGTATAGATAGTCTAGGTTTATTAGGATTTCTTTTCCCTTTTTTACCCTTACTATGATTTTTATATTTTGCCTAAACTACAAGGATGTTTAAGTCACTCTGTATTATTTTTGGATATATATACGGGGTTCTACTCTTAATTTGAGTATCCCTTTTCATTCACAACTATCTCAAGTGTTTCACCACTACCAAGTGCACTAAATTGAAATGGAATCCAGTTTTTGAAATGAACTATTATTCAAAAGAATCAAAATACCCCCTATTGATTCTAGTACTTGTCAAGGACCTAGATGCCCATAAGCAAATTGTAGAACACGAATGACATCTGAACAAGATACAGGTTGGTATAATCTCCATGTTGATAAACTGAGTCCTATCTTCAGATGATATTGTAACCCAACAAAATGCACATATCTAATTTCAATTTGCCTATTGGTAATTGAGACCATATCCGTGCTTAGAGAAATGATAGTTCAGATTGTTTTGTCAAAAATAAAGAAAAGTCATTTCTAAGAAGGGGGAAAAAAAGAAAATTGTCTGGTCAGACCCTAAGTTAGGTCTAGAATAGGGTCTAAAGGTTGGTTCCTTGAAAACTAGCTTGTGGAGTGTCTCAAAATCCATCCAGTGCTACAACATTAGAAGTCCCTTCTTTTGATCTTACCTAATCAACCAATGCCCATTCAATAATTTCATAACTTTATACAATATTTCACCATGAGGATCAGGAACATTATTGGATAAGTATTAGTTCATATATATACAACCAGATTAAAGAAACAACAGGAACACGAGGGACAGTACTAAAAATAACACAGGATTTATAAACAATTTCTAAAAATTCTTGAAGGGACAGCATATGCTATGGAAGATGCCTGACCTCCATTTTCATGTTTATGCAATGTATTAGTTACCACTTCAAAATTGCTTTTTCTTTTCAGAATAAAAGTTCTATTTAACCAGAAACAGCAAAAAGCAAGGAGAAGACCCCAGGAGCTTACATAAACATGTACATCAATACAAGTATGAGAGTAACAGATTTGCAACTAATATCAGAAGGGAGTGAGAGCAAATTTTTAAACAAAAAAAAAAAAGTTTCTAGCCCTACTCATATCCTCACAAAATAGAACACAAGCCTAAGTTTGTACTTTCAGCTGCTATGTCTTCCACCTGAGGACTGGAAAATAGAATCGGGCAATTTCAAGTCTCTTGGATGTGAATTTGTGCAGTAGTAGAGCTCATTAACCCGCCTCTCACCACAACTACAGTTTCTTTTTGTGCTATTACTACGTCCTATAATCACTTAAAAATTCTCACAGAATTTCATCACTTCCATTAGCTTTTTCAAGTTACTACCACCAATCTATTTCCCATTCCAAACAATTGCCTAAGTCCCAGGCTAATGCTGCACCAGAAAGCTTGGAAGGTAGTTAACAATAGATTCTCCTTAATCTTGACGTCTGCTGTTTCCTTCTTCAAATAAATCTTGCACATTGCCACAAAATTATAACTTTTCGGCAGCCACCATTGAAGACAACTTTTTTTTTTTTACAGCTAATAAAACAAGTAAACATAAAGGCGATCACATTTTGAACCTAAATTTTATCTTTTATTATCCTCCTACATTTCCCCCAAAAAAGCAATTCAGTTCAACAAACCCAGCTTTGGATTTTAAGTACAGTGGAGCAACCCAATTACAGAAAATTTTGAAACTACAATTTATCACATTACAATGACAACAATACAGGATAAAATCAAAACCTCCCAGATAATGCAAGGTAGAGACCCTAAATTCGTTCTACATTCACATGAACAAAACTGGCCTTGTCTACAAAATTGAAAGGAAAAAAAAACCCACTTCACATATAAAGAAGTATGTATAAACTTATATATGGGAGAAAGAATCAATAGGAATTGTCATATAATAGAACTAGACATAATAGAACTGCAAAGTAGAGGTAGAACAGTAGTACCATAGATGGAGAAAGGGTCGTCCTTCATGATTTTAGAAGGTGGCCTCTCCAATTCCAAAATTTCCATGGATCTAGTCGATGATGGCCTCACCCTCCCAAACATTCTCTCTCTCTCTCTCTCTCTCTCTCTCTCTCTCTCTCTTTTAGTTTCTCAGATAAGGAAATAGCAAATGAGATTTTTGAAACCGTGGATCTTTGACGCGGCAAATGACCCAAAAACAGAAAACAAAAGAGCGGGAACCAAGTGTGTTGGTCTGGGCTAGTACTTGGGAGTTGGGCCCATATACATAAAAATAAGTCTCTAAGTGTGGCGAGTTTTAGTGAATTTATATCAAAAAATATTTTAAATATATCCGATTCGTACTTAATAAATCGTATCGTATTGAATTTGTGTTATGTATAAATTGTATATAACTGATAAAAAATACTATTTGAATCTAATTTGAGGGCCTTTTTTAATGATCTAATAATGTACAACAATTGAATTCTCCATCTAACATTAGAACATATAACTAATCCAATTGTTATGTTGAAACTACATCATTAAATCTCTAAATAAAATCTTCAAATAAGATTCTTATAATACTGCTCATAACTGATATACAAACGACACGCAGTAAATCTAAGAAAGTTATCAAGTTTTCAACTTAAAAAATTTAAGTTCACAGTTTGTCCCTATTTGTCCCAGACTCGCTAATTATAGATTTTTTTTTTTGGTTGCAAGACACAAACATAAGACAAAGTCTAGTGTAAGCATTGAAACACGAGGGAACCTTCATGTAATTACTGAAATGATTGTTTATGTTACAAGATACATGTTAGGGAGAGTCCAGTACAATTTAAGAAAACACCAACGGCTGCTTTGCACTGTCTTAATTAACAGTATGGAAAAAAGCAAGCATACGATATTAACATCATGTGCAGTAAATCAATAGAATATACACACGTATAAAAATATATATTGTATTTTACAACACAATTATATATTTACTTTCACTTTTTTTGCTCAATTTTGGAGAAAAAAATTTCAATAGAATGTAAAAAAAAAAAAAAATAATCCCTCCACGTAAACTTCTATCGTCCTACTCCTTCTATCGTTTCACTTTTTCTATCATATCAATCGAAACATTTAGAGTCGCCGTAGTCTGTAAAGTTCACAGTCAAATTCAAGAGACTCAAAACCCACAACCACCACAAAGCATTCCAATCAAGGTTATCATCCGATAAATTAATATCCTAAAATGCATATAAAAAACACAAAAAAATAGAGATTGATAAATTCCGAACGAAGGAGACAAAAAGACTGATTGATTACAATTAGACATCCACTTTTTTTTTTTTTTTTCCCCTTCTAGAATACAAGCAATTCCATGTCGAGTCACACCAAGCCTTCTTCAGAAGCCAATTACTATCTCCAAAATAACTTTCGAAGAAAACCGCGGTTACAACTTCTATTCTTCAGATCCTCATCTGAAACAGAAACATTTGAGTATATTTAATATCTAAAAACCTGCAATGGACTAAAGACCATTTATCGTGGAGTTATTCCAATTTCAGCACATATTCATCCCTTCAAGATGGAGTTGTTGCAAAACAAAGATAAAAAGAATAGAAAAAACTGGATTTATAGTAAAATGTGAACAAAAACTGAAAGCATGCCAAAATCACAAGGATTCTCTCCAAACATGTTTGCACTTGACGAAAGGGACACATCCCTAAAGCAGATACACCAAACCAAGCGAGCACACACACAGGGAACACCAAAAGAACGCCAGGATACCATGATTTAATACACCAAACATGATGGGTATGGCAGCTATTACGTAGAGGATACCCGATACCATGACTTGATCACTCTCCCTCTCTCTCACACACACACACAAAAACAAGCGCGTGCACACAAACAAATTAGGCTTGTTGCAAAGGCAAGTGAAATCGGGTACTTCCATTTCTATTGGATGTCCAACTGTCAACCTTAAATGCAATGAGTTCAAAAGAGTCGGTCACCTTTTAGTTTTCCAGCAAAATACAAAGCTTCTTCAGCAATTGGTCTCCATTGCTCTGCGCAAGAGTAGTTGATTCCAAGGCCAACACTAAGTCCTCTCAACAGATGTACCGTGCGCAGCACAGAAAACAGTTCCTCTGGGAATGCCTATTATCAATGGATGACAATAGCAAAATCGAATTCTGATTTTAAGTCCAAGCACACACTTCACTTATTGCAATATACAACAAAAAAAAGACACATAGTATCATATGGAAATAACTAATGTACCAGACACAGAATCACATATGTAATATATATATCGAACCGACTTCCATTTGGTAATGGTATGAGAAGTTACTTGAAAAATCATATTATTGAGGGCTGGAAAATGTTGGGAACTAAATTCCCTTTTACCAATAGCTCATTATATAAGCAACAATGATCATCATGTGCTGATGGAGTATTGTCGAACCACAAGCAAAATTTTAGATTGTGGAAACTTCTAGATCAATCAATGATCTTAAAGAAATTAACGCATACCTGAACAGCAATTTTTTTGATTGAAGATTCTTCTGAAAAAGGTTGCAACATGGTTACGCCAGGTGGAAGCTTCGTATCAAACATTGTCTGCGCCAATCTGAGCATTTCCTTTTGTTCATCCTCACAGTTGCTTAAAGTAGTTATGCCGAGCTCCCTGATGTTTGGGGGAAAGGGAAAGAAATGAAAAGAAAACAGTACAGAAATAGAAAGAGGATTAAGAAACAAAGTTACTAATCATAATCAGACCCAATAAGACTGTGCTCCCTCCCACTCCTGCTCGCCTTTGGCTCCCTAATCAGGAATTAGCCTAACGGCGGAGCTCTTGCTGCACTCAACTAATAATTGGTGTGTGTGTGTGTGTGTGCAAACAGAGTAGTGTATAGGATTCTTGGAAATGGTATCTTCTTCTTTTTTTCTTTCTTTTTCCAGCTTTCCATATTTGTACTCCAGAAACTCAGAATATGGAAGCCCACCATTTACCAGACATAGATGCCCTTCTCTCTTTGGAGAAACAAAAATTACAGAATAAACAAGGAATTCATAGGCAAACTTCAGTACCTGTAGCTCTCTGATGCCCTTACAGGATCATTATCAGCGATAGCAAGAACTAGATAAGCATATCCCAGCCTCAATTCTTCAGGGAGATCCTTCACTTGCCCATAGTCAAGCAAAGCAACCTAAATATAAGCAAATTAATAGTACTCCATTAAAAGTATATGAGTTGCACATTGAGCATGCCGATAAATGATACAGAGCGCATGACCCAGGATAAGAGACTGGTAGGATGGCAGCATCATATTAGGGTAGGAAATTTTAGATAACCACTTGCCTCTGAACCTTTACAGATCAGAATATTTCCAGGATGGGGATCTGCATGAAAGAAACCACTCCTCAGTATCATTTGTCCATATGCAAGCGTCAAACTTTTAAGTATGTTCCTGCATGAAGAGATAAGAAAGAGAGTAACGCTTTTCATCTGCTCAATTACTCTGTCAGAAAGACCGAAGAATGACTACGGACAAAAAGATCAGGAGACTTTCAAGAGTCGAGACTAACCAGTTAGAACTATATAAGGCAAACTTAACATCACATGAGTATTAAACCAAAGAATTATTTATTTCCAGAACCAAAAAGTCCAGACAATCAGAAGCCCCTTTAGACAATAACCTAACAGTACATATTGAAATGCATTCATGTAAGGATTTTCTGTCGTCACTGGGGCTTAGCATGTAACTTGGTTAGCAATCGTAGATCCTAAAATATTGTCCAGGCATTACTCTCAGAGATGGTTGACAAAGCACGCACATGTTACTCAACTCAACTAAACAAAACCTTGTCCCAACAATTTTGGGATACATAAATCTTGTTTCACCATCATAAAAAAAGCAAATATTGTTAAGGGAAAATCTACAACGGTCCATTTCTTGGCTTGCAAAGGAATCCTCTAATAGTTGAATTACCAACAAATAATTTACATTCAAAAGAGAAATCAGAAGTTGGAATTTAACCTACGTGACCACCCATCTTTTAGATTCTTGCATTGACAATCTAGAAGACCTCATATTGGGGAAAAGTGCCTCAATATTCTGTTGGAAAGATTAATTGATCCAATCGAATGTGATTCAGCAAGCTTTGACAAGTTATCACAAGAAACGTAACTGAGGTCATTGAATTCATCACAATGACCATCATACTGATCCTCATTAGCCCTAAGGTAGCAATCAGCAAACATCATCTGATGAAGTTGCTTCCTAACACAGCCCAAGGAAGAAAATCCAAAGGAGATTTGCTTTCAAGGACAAGAAAGAAGACAAAAAGAAGTTGATTAATGGGAGGGGGAAGGGGGGGGGAGCAACCAATGAGCAAATAAAGACTTCATACTCTCTGGATAATCTAGGGTCTTACTGCTTTGCTGCTGCTGCCATCTTACCGCCAGGATTTATGCCTCTTTTTGCTATTTCGTCTCCAAGCTTCAGGATTGGGATTCCATCAATGTATTCCATCACTAAGACCCTCCTACCCCAGACAATGGAAAAATTAGCTATCAGAAATAGATAAATGCAGTTACAAAATCAGCAACATAGTGGGACAAAAGTCTACGAGGAAAGCCCACAAACTTAGCTTACTGGTAGGGCAAAAAAAGTTATATTAACGGCAATCAATCTTCTTGTTGAAGAAAATAAAATTAGAAAGCTATGATGACGAAAATAAATGATGGAAGTTAGGTATAGGTAGGGGAAAATGCATCATGTCTTGAGGCAAGTCTTAATTGCATGGGTGAAAGAAGGTTAAAAATATGACAGAATATCAAGTGGGGACTTGAGAAGTGAAATTTAATATTGAAACTGAATCAACGAGATACAATAGGGCCTCACCGGTCTGCATAAGACATGAATCTTTGTCCCTCATTCATTCTGAAATTTTTTCTTCAAATATTTTTTTTTTTTTTGACAAGTAAAATGGCAGCACAGTGCACAAGCTTGTAGCCACCGAGAGTCGGGGAATTTCAGATGAATGCAACTTTACCCCAACATGCAGAGAGACCATTTTTACTTTTTTTTTGACAAGTCATTCTGCAATAATTCAAAATGGCTTTCAACCCATCTGTATGCTGTGCGTTATTTCAACCTTTTTGGTCAGCAAAATAAAGTTTCTGTGACTAATGTCTATAAATGGATTAATTAACCAAACAAAATATGAGAACATATATATTCTTCTTCCTGATGATATTCGTATCCTTCCAACGTTTCTTGATCGACTCATATACCACACTCTAACTTCAGAGAGTTACTTCTATTGGGGCTTTCGACATGCTACAGGGAACTAATTGAAGTGGTATAAGCACTAATGTGATTACTCGTCCTGTTATTAGCTCTGCCAACAACATCAAAATAGCTTTCAGAAGGGCACTTATGACAGCAATCGCAATGTTTGTATTGTTGGCAACCTAAGCTAGATAAAACAAGACCAAACTGGGATCCAAGACTGACTGACAATCATGAGTCCAATGGCGTATCATATGCCAAGCTTCAAGACACATCTCAGATTCAATAATTCATACAAATAGCTATCACAACAATCCAACCAGCAGAAAGTCAAAGATAGAAAAACATCCAACAAAACAAAAGAACTGATAAATATTTGATTAAATCAAGCCACCAAAGAAAGCAAACAAATGACATTGACTTTTACTAAAGGAAATGCTCAGCTGCATTTACACATTTGTTCCACTGTTTAATACTTACCCAATATGCTCTACTGTACAGAAGATAACAATCAGTCCCAACTCTCAAATGATCAAAATAGCTCAAAGAATTCAAATTATACTCAGATTTGCCAATCCCAGCTAGAAAATCGTACTGCAGCACCACATACCTAGTGACCAAATCCCGCATTACACGTGGAACAGAAACAGGAGCCTTTTTGTTATTCCCATACAGAAAACGTTGAATTCTTTCCATAGCACTAGCCTCCCTCTCAAAGTCGAATTCATAACCAATCTTGAACCAAATAAATGAAATCAAATTATCAACCATTGCAGAGTTGATAAAGCAAAAAGAATGTTTTTGTCCACTAAACATGTGAAATAAATAGTTCATGGCATATTTTAGCAACAAAAGGTCTTGAAGATGCAATGTTTTAGTATGTCAGGAAATGGATTTGGATATAGAAGAAAACTCAATTCAGTATAAAACCACAGGCCCCACTACCATCACCAATGCTGCCAGTACCACTAGAAAAATACTTTCCTCGCTTTTTGGAAGATATATAAGCAGTTGTTTCAGGTCTAAAAAGGAAGAAAAGCGATTCCAAAATACAAATAGGTTCAATAAATGCCAATGTTTTGAGAAGACGCTCAAAAAGGAGAAACAAAAAAACTCGATCATAGATGCATCTATTAACTAGAATAAAATGAAACAGGAATTGTAGATTTATAGTACGAAAACAGAGTAACAAAAATTCATTCATTATAAATGTTGAAAACTCAATGTATAAGCTATCAACTCTCCGCTTTAGGTGATGTTTAGATAAAGTGTTATAATGTTCAGAAAAAACACTGTACTAATCATCTGAGTCACTACAAAATGAGAACTTATGTCTAACCACATCCATTCTGAATTTGGTTTTTAGATCCCACAGAGTAACTGGCATGCATGAATCCTGATTTTAAATCAAGACGTACATCAAATGTTCTGAGTTCAGGCTAAGAGCTAGATGTACATCATGTGTTTGCAAATCAAATGTTGCAATGTTACAAACCTATGGCTCGTCCAACTGATCAATTGTATAATAGATGCATTGTTAACTTTGGAAAGAGGAAAAAGAGATGATAACAGAAAATGTTACATAACAATTCTTGATTCTAACTTTACTAATTAAATTTCTGAATTTCAATATCCTCTACTTTCCCTATTCATCTATACATCATTACCCAAAGACCGGATTAAACAAATTAATAAGTCAACACTGAAGCACTTAGTACATCATGAGAGAAGCATTAATTTAAGTCTGATGGATATAGTATGATGAATTTATGATACCAAATCAACAACTATCCCCAGGTGTACTAATGATTTCTTTGGTAAGGAACAATTATTCTTGGGTTAGTATGAAGCTACCTACATCATGTGCACGCAGTTGACACAACACAATAGCTAGAATGACATTGCAGAAATAATGTACACCTGTTTCTCCATTTCTTTAGTTATAGAGTATAAATCAAACTTGATATCTGTCTTTTGCATGTATAATGCAAAAGCTTGCAAGTTGTGGATATCTGTCATCATCAAATTCTGAACCCCAGGATGTTGCACCTATAGTACCCATGAATATTAGGATGTCACAAGCTTATCATGGCTGCAAAGAAGATGTGCAAGTTCCCTTACCTTGACAGCAACATCACGCTGACCACCTCTCAGTCTTGCTCGGTGAACCTAACCCAAATGATATGGAAGTTATAACTCCTTGTGAACACATAATGCAATGTTCAGCTGATTAGGAAAAGGAACACCCAAAAACTCTAACACAGAAAATGACTTCAATGTTCAGAATAAAATTCAGTCAATAGGAAGAGCATTTATTCGAACTATATAACTGTCAAAATAAAGATACTCAAGTTTCTAACCATCAATCACGAGCAATAAAAACCAGAAGAACCTTCCCCCAACCCAAACACAAAAAAGTGGGTTTTATCTCCTTTATATGACTTCAAATTCGTTTTGATTTTTGAATAACACAGCCCGTTTTGTCAATGTGGATCAGGTCCATGATGAAATAGACTCGGACAGGTCATCCTAGGCATGTGTTTATATAAACCAATACATGATTAGTAATATTGCCTTTGTCTCGATGAACCGATATAGTACAGTAATTTTGCCACTGTATCAAGGATAGGTTTTAAACTTAATAGGAATTAGGATAAAGTAGAAACAGTATTAAATAGTCATTATGCTGAAGAATAAATAAAGTGACCAGCCAATATTATGGAAAAACCAATTAAAGTCTAATATTTGAAACCCCTTTCGGGAACAAGTTTTCATGTGAAATTTGTGTGCTCAAGTCAATCTCCTGATTTTTATTGACTCAAGGCTTTTGGATTTTTTTCACTTATTGGGAAATCAACCAACATCCATTGTTTTATGTTCACAGCCAAACTTTTGGTCAGACCTACCTCCCGACATTGATTTTAAAAACTCCTACTTCTGGCATTTTCCAATGGTAGGCATGTTTAATCGTCCAGTGTCCCGCATCAATATTTCAAGCGGTTGACACCAAAAGGATCATTTGTCTTAATTGTCTTGTTTTAAGAAGTACTTTTGTATACACGGCAGATTTTTTTTTTCCTTCAATTTTATGTCTTGTTCAATGACATCGTATTTTTGCAGGCACCTCTTTGATCCGCTGCATTGAGCTTTGTAGAAATTTCGTCTTTTTTTTTTTTGGTCATCATAGAAATTGTGTTATTGAGCATGCTCCTAGACAATGTTTCACCATTACCTATCAATGTTTCACCATTGCTAGAAATATCCACTTTTTAACTTCAAATTTCTTAGAGCTTCTGGCCCAGTGTATCAACCCTGAAGGAAATTGAACATGGTATCAACATTTTAACTTCTATTGTATCCTCAAAATTCAATGCAGTGGAATTCTCAGATGCTCCAAGTTCGGATTCAGCATTCTGACCCAATTTGGCATAAATAGAGGTACCTGGGCAATTGAAGCAGAACCGAGAGGAGTCGGATCAAATCTTTCAAACAATTCATCAACACTCCGACCCAACTCCTTTTCCAGCAAAAGTTGCACAACCCCATAATGGGTTGCAGGGGCTTGATCACACAGTGTAACAAGTCTTCTCACCCATGCAGCTGGGGCCAAGTCAGGCTTCCCAATTATTTGGGCAACCTAAACCAAACCACATCCAACAAAATAAATCAATTCCTCTCCATCACACATAGCATACACCATATACAAATTACAACTATCATAATCCAAATTCCTCAAAAACCCAATTCAAATTGTCAAAAAAACAAACGAATACCTCCAACCAAACCCAATTAAGAGCCCACGGATGATCAAGAGCACCAAAGCAAAAAAAATTCTTGCTGTAAAAGAGGGGAATCAATCAATACCTTGAGAAAAAACCCACCAGGTCAGAGCACATATTGTAGATTTTCTCAGCCGCAACCTCATGTTGTCTCTCCCACATTGCCTCCTGCTTTTGCACATCCTTCTCGAAACTCACTCGAAGTTGAAACACCTAAAAATCCACAAAAGTTCCAAACGACAATGTCGAAATCAACTGCAATTGTAATGGAATATCTATGTAAAATACTAACTAATTCATAAATAAATTACATAAACATATGAAAAGCAAGACCTTGTAACCGGTGTAGATGTCAGCTGCACGAACCCAGAACTGAAAGGAGCGTTGCCAAGGCCTGAAGTGGGTGGAGAGCTTTTCTTGTATTTCTTTAGGATCAACGGGAAGCATTTTTTTCGTGGGTTTTGGTGCTTTATTTATTCATGACTATATAAAGTATGAACTCAATAGAACTACCGTACTGTTCTATATACAGTGTTCTATGGCCACAAGTGTATGGTTTAGAACTCGTGTAAGGAGGGCAATTTATTGTTTGTGAAGCTGTGGCTGAGAAACAGAGAGAGTTGTGGTTTATGTACGTATTGCGAAGTATTGGAGCTCACTGTTGTAAGTAACAACTGAAGGGGATGTTTACGAAGGCGTTGCACGCCACAGAAAATTGGAAGTGAAGGAGCACCTTTGCTTGGGACGGTGGATCACTTTTCTTTCTTTTTACTTTTGGGTTTTTGCACGCTGAAATTGTGTACCCCCCCCATGTATGTTAAAAATATGTTACTTGTTATTTAACAACTTAAATTTTTTAATATTTAAAATGTTATACACGAACTCCTCGAAGTTTA